GATTCGAGCCAGAAGGCTGCAGATGCTAGAGGAAGCAGCAAAGGTAACGGGGGCCGTAATAAAAGAAGTGAGGTCCATATACACCCGAAAAATATCAGCAGCACAGCCTGCTGCTGCTGCTGCTTCTGCTGCTGCTGCTGCTGCTGCTGCTGCTGCTGCTGCTGCTCCCTCTCGCCGGGTGCAGAAGCTGAAGCTGACGGAGACAGCAAAGGAGACAAAAGGAGACACCTCAGCAGCAACGGAGACAGCAGCAACATCTTCTCTTTTGTATGAATCCCCTGAGCTCTGTGGGGTGGACCTTCTAACCCTAGACTACCCCGAAGCAGCAGCAGCAAACAGCAGCAGCAGCAGCAGCAGCAGCAGCAGCAGCAGCAAGAGGAGGAGAATAGTGAAAGAGGATTTGTTGCATCTGCAGCAGTTCCTGCAGCAGCTAGCTGCAGCAAAAGGAGACACCAGAGACAGACGCATTTTGTTTGTCTCCCCCGACGCCCCCATCAGAGCGCAGCGTAAACCCCAGCTGCTGCAGCACCAGCAGCAGCAGCAGCAGCAACAGCAGCAGCAGCAACAGCAGCAGGAGGAGGAGCAGCAGCAGCAGCAACCGCAACGAAAACCTGCAGCAGCAGCAACCGCTGCAGCAGTGCCACCAGCACCAGCAGCACCAGCAGCAGCATCAGCAGCAGGAGAAGCAGCAGAAGCAGCAGCAGCAGCAGCAGCAGCAGCAGCAGCAGCAGGAGAGTCTGGTGCTGGTGTCTCCTTTGGATTGAGTGTCCCTCGTCGTCTGCAGAATAAGTCGATCGAGCTGTCTCCTTTTGAGTCCCCTGCAGCAGCAGCAGCAGCAGCAGCAGCAGCAGCAGCAGGAACAGCAACAGCAGCAGCAGCAGAAGCATCAGCATCCGGAGCACCGAACGACCCTCTGTTTAGTTTACAGTGGGCATTGGGGGCCCCCCTGCCTCAGGGGGGCCCCCAAGCTGCTGCTGCATGCGAAGAGGGTACTGCAGCAGCAATCCTGGGATCGAGTTGGGGATCGCCTTGGCTCATAAGGAACGACCTGCTGCGCTCTCAGCTGCTGAAGGTCAGAGACCTATGCTACGGTACAGCCAGAGACAGCAGCAGCAGCAGCAGCAGCAGCAGCAGCAGCAGGGGGGGGGCGGGT